CCAACTCACCCCATAACCAGATCCCCAAAATGCCCACAGCCATTCCCACACCAGGAGGAAAAGGTGACAGAGGGGAAGCTGGAGTGGAAAGACACAGTGGTCTTTACCATTCGCAGTTAAAATGTCTTATTTTTGCAAATATTACAGAAGTATATGGCCGTGTGAACACGTTGCTGGGGCCCTCCCCAGGGCCTGTGTAAGTGAGGGGTCCTGAAGCGTAAACTTCATTAGCTTCATGCTGAATTGGCCTCTGAACTTGAAAGTTTTGATCCCGCACTCAAATGGACCCTCAACCTGCCTAGAAATCCTATTCTCCTGGCCTAGAAAGTTTGTTTTCCTACTCTCCAAAATGAACATTTCTTACTGTCTTTCTCCTCAAACGACCTGTAGCTCTTTCCCCTCCACCAATGAGCTTGATTCATTCTTCTTTGAGAAAATGGAAGCAACCAGAGAGAACTTGCCTCATCCTTCCCACATCCCAGCTGACCCACACCCTCTGTCTCCCCCGTCTCCCTGTGGGCCAGGAGTCTTCCTTCCCCCCTGAGGCTGATTTCTCCCCCAGGCACTGGAGTCTAACACCCCCCACCCCAGCCCCTCCCCTCCCCCCAGGTCTGGGTTATTCAGCATCAACCATGCCCCAGCAACCCTCATCTTTTTCTCCTGCTCCCGGCCGCCACACATTTTTCTCCTCCCCGTTCACAGCAAAACTTGACAGAGTTGTGTCTACAGCCACTTTCTGCTTGCCTTCACATCCCATTCTTACCTCGACCCACCCAGGTGGGGCTGCACAGAATTACTCTCCCCCCAGGTCACCTGGAGCTTCCAGGATGCCAAACTGGGTGGTTGCTTTGCTCTTTCCTCCTTCCTTACCATCCCAGGAGCTTAGCTAGAGGTGACCACTCCCTCCTTCTTCATGAACAACCTTTTGTTGTTTTCCAGGACACCCCACTCCCCGGCTTTTCGCGGCTGCCTCTCTGATAACTCGGTATTCCTTTGACAATTCTTCCTCCTCAACTTGACCTCTAAGTGTTGGGGTGCCCCAGGGCTCCTTGTTCAGCTCCTTCTCTTCTCTCTTATAGCATTAAAAACCATCTATCTCCCAACGACTGCCCAGTATTTACCTTCCAGCCTGACCCCAAACTTGTACATCCCTGGCTGACCTGCAGCCTCTTCTTGGATGTCTAAGGGGCTCTCAACCAACCTGACTAATTTTCTTGATTTCTTTCCCCAAACCTTTTCCCATCCTCCCCAGTGTTTCCTATCTCAATAAAAGGCACCACCATCTACCCAGTTACTTAAGCCGAAAACCTAGAAGTTCTCTTTCCGTCTCCACTGCAGCCACCTCCGTACAAGCCGCCATCATGTCTGGCCTAGGAGACTGCTGCAGCACCTCAAACGGCCTCCCTGCTTGACTCTCCACACAGCAGCCAAAGTGATCTTTTCAAACGGAAGTCGTGAATATAACTCTCCTGCTTAAAACCCTCCATTGGCTTCCACTGTGCTTAGACTCAAATCCAAACTCCTTCTGGAGCCTCTAAGGCCCAGGTGATGGGCTATGCCTACCTCTGGGTTCTTCTTTCTGTCACACTCCAAATTCTCTGTCCCAGGGACACCCCCCATCTTTCTCCAGCTCCCACGATCAAAGCCTGTTCCTGCCTCAGGGCCTTTGCACTTGCTGTTCCTTTCGCCTGGACTCATGGCTGCCTATACTAGGCTCAGATAGCACCTCCTCATAAAGGCTGTCTCTGACTACTCAGAGTAAAGTAGGTAAAGTAAGTAGCACAGCATCCTCAAGTCATTGCTGGGTCCAGTTGTCCCCGCCCCCCACTATATGAACTTGTGTTATTGTCTGCTTTCTTAGTCATTTTCTGCCCCCGCTTCCCACTATAATGTAGGCTTCAGGAGAGCCTAGCCCCAATGTACCCCCAATGCCTAACAATACTTGGCACACAGGAGGCACGCCGTAAATATCAGCTGAGTGAATAAACATAGCGGCTGTGTGCACAGACATACAGATGCCCAGCTATCGTACAGTTTCCTTCTGGGAGCCACTGTCACGGCTTGGATTTGAGAAGAGAGCATTTCCAGTCACTGACACAATCCAGAGACAAGAAAGACCCAGACTCTGGCCCAGATGAAACAGGCCGAAAGAGAAACCAGAAACAGAGGCAGAGACAGAGACCCAGAGCGAGTTCCAGAGAGAGTGACCGAGATAGACCGAGACCCAGATTCAGCGAACCAGAGACCCGGGCCCGCAGAAGCCCGGCAGCAGCCGGAGACAGCGCCAGGAGGCGGGGCGCGGAGGGAGGCCGAGCGCGCCGGGAGAGCGCGGAGAAGCAGCGCCGCGAGCCCGGAGCGCGGCCGCCCCCGCCCCGCCCCGCCCCCGCTCACAAGTGGCCGCCGCAGCTGGGGTGCGCCCTGCCGCCCGCCGGCCCGACGCGTGCGGGATCAAAGCGGCCGGGAAGGGGCGGGCAGGGAGGTGGCAGGAACCCGGAGGTGTGAGCGAGCTTCCCAAGGGATGGCAGGAGCGTGGGAGCGCAGAGTGCCAGGAGGCGACAGAGACCTGGAGAGACGACGAAGAGATCCCGGGGACCCGGAGACACCCAGAGACCGACATGCAGACGCAGAGAGAGACGGAGCCAGAGATGCAGAGAGACAACTAAAGACCCGGAGAGACCGGAGCAGAAGTTGCTAAGGACCTGGAAAGAACGTGAAAGATGCAGAGATCGAGCTGTCGAGAGGAATGCAGAGACACAGACAGACGGGGAGACAGAAAAGGCGGAGGCCCATGGACTTAGAAAAAGAAAGCGGGCTTCGGAGGGAACAGAAAATAAGAGAGGGAGCTAGGAAGAGAAATGGAAAGAGGAGCAAGGGACTTAGAGCGTGTGGGGCGGGAAGATCTCGCCCCTCCCCCACAGAGGGTTGAGAGGACCCCCCGGGGCAGGGATCCAAGCGCGGTCTCCTTTCTCAGGGTCACGCCTGCGGAGGTGCGGGGCCAGGGGCGGAGGGAGGGGTGTGGGAGGCAGCAGGACCCCCAGGCGGGGAGGATGGAAGTGTGAGGACCTTCGGAATCAGTCTCGATCTAGAGCCTCAAAGTCTGCGATAGAGTAAAAAAGTTGTGTTAATAATTGGTGGAAACGTCAAACAGAGATACTTCTCAGGCGCATCATCAGACTTCTCTCTTTTCTGGGGAAAAGGAAGAAAAAGGAGAGAACACTGCATTGGCCGGGAATCGAACCCGGGCCTCCCGCGTGGCAGGCGAGAATTCTACCACTGAACCACCAATGCAAGCGGCGAACAACCTTTGATAGCCCTCTGCTAACTTAGAGGTGGAGGCGGTCGTGGTCTGGCTGACGGTGACCCCGAGTAGTTGACGTGGGTGGAGCGCCGGTTTATCCTTCCTCCTGCTCGGATCGGGCCACCCGGCCATAAAGTCGCCCCATATGGCCAGGGGCGGCCCCACACCTGGGTGCGAACAGCCCGGGGCCCCGAGCCCCGCGTGCAGGTGAGAAAAACTCAGCCCGAGTCTAGGTTCCCAAGGAGGGGGGCGGCGGGGGCTTCTGGGGCCACACATCTGCGCTCCCATTTGGCCCAGGTAGGGGGAGGTGGGATGTGCTGGGGGCCCTGATCCCAAATGGGAGCGCCCTCCCCAAGGTCTGTGTTCCTCCGGGCTCGGGCCTTGGCAAGGCGGGCTCCGTGAAAAACACCAAGGTGTGGAGGGGCAAGGGCGGGGAATAGGGGGTGGCTCGGAGGAGCCCCATCCGTCTCTAACTCCATAGCTATCTTCCGACTCAGGTCTGCAACACTGTCTTTCCGTATCTTTTTCCCTGGCACTCTTGCTGTCCCATTAAATCTCTGATTTTATCTTCTCAGGCACTTTGTCCGGAAGTCTCCGAGTCTACACGCATCGCTCTCCAGAGGGTCATGCTCTTGGTTTGAGGTGGGTTTTGATCCCTTTTTTGTATCCCTTTAAGAAAACTGCCTGCTTCCTGCTCCCCTACACTCACGAGGGGTCCCCAGTAGCAAGCAACGCCAGCACACTTGTGTCAGGTGTCCTGGCAGCCAAATGCCTGAATCTCCTATAATTAATTTTGAATCAAATACTTCCAAGTAAAAAGATCTCTCCACTTCCTACTCGTGCTTCAAAGCTTTGCTTCCTCTTCCTTGAGGCTCCCCCGGCTCCAGTCCAGTCATCCCTCAGGATGACCCTTTCCGGAGCACCCACTTCATTTTGCTTCTATAATAGCTGCTTGATAACACATTGTCTTCTTCACTAGATCCTGCAGGGATAACGTGGGCCTCTAGCGCATATCTCAGTATGAACGGTCCAAGCCTAGACCAGTGCCCAGTGCACACAATGAGCGGGCAGATGTGGGCCGAATTGAATATGACTGACTTGGAGCTCCTCTTACCTCCAGACAGAGCCCCAGTTGAATTAGACCGATCCACCCAGCACACTCAGGTCGCTCCCTATCCCAAGTAGGAGGTGAATTCTGGGGGAAGATGTCTAAGATCCAGTCTAGGGGCCGAGGGGTGCTAACTTTTATTTCAGGGTTAGTGGGGGTACAGTGAACTTCCAAAAAAGCTGCCATTCTGGGGGAACTCTGAAGTTCACTCCTGAGATGTGTCCCCAAATCACTCAGACTTCCTCTCTCCCTAATAACCTCCTCCCGTCAGCTGGGTCTCGACTCGTTATACAACTTTATGGTCCTTAAACCAGCCGGTGCTGCATGGGTCCCTCAATTCCCACACTCCCAGGCCAGTGCCATTCCTTCTCCCGCCCCCCACCCCTTGCACTCCTCCCCTTTCCGGGAGCCTCGTGCCCCAGGCCGCGCCGGGAGGGATCCGGGTGCCGAAGGAGGCGGGGCCGGGTCCTACCCCCCTACCCCCACCCCGGAGCCTGCAGGATATAAGGCGCAAGGCGAGCAGGGACTCGGTCTACACCACGGTCCCGAGGAGCGATGGTCACCCGGGATCGAGCCGAGAATAGGGACGGGCCCAAGGTGAGAGGCGGGAGGGGTGGGAGCAGAGGTCCCTGGTCCAGTCAGGGGACAGCGTCCCTGAGACCGTGAGTCAGGGAAGAGGACGGAGACCAGGGCTGGAAGGTGGAGAGGTGCCCGGGGGACCCAAGGAGCCAGGAGCTGGGGAGGAAGCTGCAAAGTATGAAGAAGGGGACAGGGTCCGAGCAGGACCTGCGTGGGTGGCAGTAGCAGAGGTCTGGGGTTTGGCAGTTGGCACCTTGCTGCCTGGAGGGCATGGGAGGGGGCCGGCGCTTGAGTGAAATAAGTCAGAGGAGCACAGAGCTAAGATAAGAGGGTGAAAACAAAAAGCCGAGAGGCTAGGCACTTGCTCCACGAGGGCTGTGAGCCGGGGTTGGCCCGATGCAGCCTATAGAGAAAGGCCCGGTGGATACTGATTCCAGAGGCCCGAGACCGGGTGGAAGATTTTAGAACCAGTAAAGAGTGACCGCATAGACGGGTTAGAGGGAGAAGAGGCGCGGTCGCGCTGGGTATCTCCCTTTCTGCACTCAGGGCCGCCAACTCTGAGCCCGGCACCGTGCGGCCCACGTGTCTGGGCGCAAAGAGGGTCCCCAAAGTTCTCCACTGAGACAGAGAAAGACTGCACGAGACGGAGACATAGAGAGAAAAGAGGAGGAGGAGAAGGAGACACTGAGAGGGGAGGAGGGAGGAGAATGCAGAAGACCCGGGAGAGAGAGGAGGCGAGCTACAGAAATTGATCCTAGGGGCGTTGGGGAGAGGGGCGTGGAGAGGGTTCGAATGGGCCGGGCCCTAGGCTCTCCGGGGTCTTGGGGAAGGATGGAGGCGGGACTATCCCAGCGGCGGGATCCGGACGCCAGCGCGGCCGCGCTGAGTCTCGGTCGGGTCGGCCCGCTCTCCCTTTCCTGCTGATCGCAGATGCTAAAGCCGCTAGTGGAGAAGCGGCGCCGGGACCGCATCAACCGCAGCCTGGAAGAGCTGAGGCTGCTGCTGCTGGAGCGGACCCGGGACCAGGTCAGTCCTGCTGCCATCCCCGGACCCCCAAGCATCCTGTCCTCACTTCCTACTGGGGTGGGGACATATGCTGCATTGGCGACCCTGGCCCCAAGGCATCCTGACCCGAGTCCCACCCTTGGAATCCCATCCCAGACCCCCCCTCGCTCTCAGAACGCAATCTTCAACGCCACCCCTCGGGTCTGTAAGTTTCACACCCAGCTCTGTAAATTTCACTCCCGGGGTGGGGCAGTCTCATCCTTCAGGTCTGTAAATTCTCTCTCCCGCTACACCCCCCAGAACAGCCAGCAGGGTGGTTAATTTCACTCCCTGGGTTTGCTGTTTCAAATCCCCTCCTCACACGGTGGGTTGGTTTCATCCCCTCGGGTTGGACAGTTTCGTCTCAGGGTGGGCCAGGACCATTCTCGATCATCTCCACTCCGCATTCGGTCGCGCGCTCTGTGGGCAGTGCACAAACGCGAACCGGGGGCACCCCCAGCTCCCGCACCCCACCTCCCTTCTTCCCCCTGCCACTTTCCCCCTCTCTCCCCACCCCTTTCTGTCTCTGCGCCCTCCCCTCCCGTCTGTAGAACCTCCGGAACCCGAAGCTGGAGAAAGCAGAGATACTGGAATTCGCCGTGGGCTACTTGAGGGAGCGAAGCCGGGTGGAGCCCCCGGGTACAGCGCGGGGGTGGGGCAGCGGAGGGAGGGAGGGGGGATTCACTGAGGTCCGGGCCGGGGCAGACGGGGTGGGCCCTGCGGTGGACGGTGGGCTTGGGGGTTGGCAGGCTCTTCTCCGAGGCGAGGTTAATAACACCCGCGCGTGTCTGTCTCTGTCTCCCTCATTTTCTCCCTCTGTCGGTCCATCTGGTTTCCTGTCTCTGTCTGTGCGCCTGTCCGGCTTCGGTATCTCTGCGCCCCGCCCCTTCCCACACCCCTGCTGGGCCCCTGCCCTGCCCGCCCGTCCTCCCGCCGGCTGCACCCGCCGCCGCGCCTCCAGGGGTTCCCCGGTCCCCAGCCCAGGACGCCGAGGCGCTCGCCAGCTGCTACTTGTCCGGCTTCCGCGAGTGCCTGCTTCGCCTGGCGGCCTTCGCGCACGACGCCAGCCCGGCCGCCCGCGCCCAGCTCTTCTCCGCGCTGCATGGCTACCTGCGCCCCAAGCCGCCCCGGCCGGAACCGGTAGATCCGAGGCCCCAAGCGCCGCGCCCACCGCTGGACCCCGCCGCCCCGGCGCCTGGCCCCGCGCTGCACCAGCGCCCCCCAGTGCACCAGGGCTCCCCTAGCCCGCGCTGCGCTTGGTCCCCGTCCCCCTGCTCCCCCCGCGCCAGGGATTTCGGCGCGCCGGAGCCCCTCACCGGACTGCTGCCGCCGCCGCCGCCGCCTCACAGACAAGACGGGGCGCCCAAGGCCCCGCCGCCCCCGCCGCCCGCTGTCTGGAGACCTTGGCCCTGAGCTTTGGGGGGTGGGGGCGGGGGCTGGGGGTGGGGTAGAGACTCCAGCCCGAGGGCAGCAGAGGGACCCGGGCGTCCGGAGGAGGAGGTGTTGGGGAGGGCGGCGGGGCGCGCGGGGGCAGCGCGCGGGTGAGATGTGGTCTATATTAGAGTATCTATATAAATATATATTTCCCTGGTTCCTGTCCCTTTTCCCTGCCCCCTTTGCGTCTAGGATTGTACCCTCTCTGCCCCCAGCCCAGCCCCAGTCCCTTCCCGAGTCCCTAGTGCATGGAATAAAGTGGTTATTAAATCCCCATGTGTCCCCGAGCCAGGGGCCTGCCTTTATCTCGGCGTCCATGCCCATTTGCCCTGCCCTCTGTCTCCCGCCTCAGTCCTGCTCTCCATGGCCCAAGGCCCGGGGCAGACAGGTAAGTAAAGAAGAGAGCAGAGAGGAGACTGAGGTTGGAACTGAAACCGGGTGGAAACACTGAGATAGGGTAAGGGAAGAGGGGATGGGAACCTTTAAGAAAAGGCAGAATACAGAGGAAAGGGAAAAAAAAAATTGAAATAAAATCGACTCTGGTGGGATTCGAACCCACAACCTTTGAATCGCTTTTTCGTCACTAGAAGTCCAATGCGCTATCCATTGCGCCACAGAGCCACCTGGCGGGCGCCAGCGTCTGACAGCTTACGGGTACTAGCGTGGGGAGGGGTGGGGGAAGGGTGGGGGTGAGAGGGAATTGGGCGTGGCGCGCCAGGAGCGCTTGGTTTGGACTTCCGAGGCCCGCCTGGGAGAGGTAGCGGCGCAAAGCCGGTGACCCAGGTGGGAGTGCGGGCGCGCAAGGGTGGAAGAAACAGGGAGAGAGAGCAACTGAATATGAGCGAGCCAGCGAGTACAGAGCTCTGCCTGCCCGCTTGGGGGATGCTTCCAGCCCAGGCGCACCCCACTCCCAGATGTGGCCCCACTCATCAAAATAAACTTGTTTTGTTGTAAATTTCTATGTGTATCTGTTTCCTCTGGTCTATTGGCTTTGCCGTCCGCTGCTCCGCGGTCCAGAGTCTCGATGGTTCCCAAAGAACACCTGCCAATCTAGTAACAAGCATGTCCAGCTTATTTCTCTCCTCTAGTCTCTTAGGAGGACTGTGAGGATGACTCTTTTCCGCGCAGGTAGCGTGGCCGAGCGGTCTAAGGCGCTGGATTTAGGCTCCAGTCTCTTCGGAGGCGTGGGTTCGAATCCCACCGCTGCCAAGTAGAGTTTTTCTCCGCGTCTAAGCAAGCCGTGCTTCACAAAGCCCCTTCTGGAATATTCCTTAATTTTCTTAGGACTCCTGGTAGCAGTCTCACCACCGTCCGTCTTCCCTCTCTGCTATTCGAGACAGAGCCTAAGTCTGCATTCCAGCCCCAAAGCGAGACCTGATGGAAACTGCCAAAGTAACCTTCATTTATTGTTAACCGATCTTCACTTTAATATATTCTTACATAACATTCTTATCTCTCAAAATTAGTGCAACTTGCTGTTTATTTGACTTACTGTATATTCTCCTGACAGTGTGCTAGAAGCTCCAATTACCCAGTCTGAAAGACTCAAGGAACTGCAACTTGGTTTTTCTTTCCAGATCCTCTCGGATCATAAAAAAATCTCATATATGAAACTAATAGTAAATAACATACATAATGAAACGTTCATTATGAGTGGAAAAAGCAGACTGAAGGTTCCACCGAGATTTGAACTCGGATCGCTGGATTCAGAGTCCAGAGTGCTAACCATTACACCATGGAACCTGCTTGCCCCTGTTTGCTTCTTGGACTGTAGATATTACAAATCTTGCTATTCTGTGTCTCTCTTCCCCCTGCCTTTCACAGAAGACAAAAGAAAAATAAAACAGTCAGATAGGGTGGATACTGCTATCGAGCACCTCAAATATGAATTGGGACGTTCTGTAAGTGTAAAATACACACCGTACTTAGAAGACTTAGTACAAAAAAAATAGTTAAAATTTCATTAATAATTTAAAAATATTGATTACCTGTTAAAATGATAAGATTTCGGATAAATGATAAGATTTCGGATATATTGGGTTAAATAAAATACGTTATTAAAATTAATTTCGCCTGTTTCTTTTTACTCTTTTTAGTATGACTCACCAGAAATTTTAAAGTCGCATACATGGCTCGTATTACGTACTGCTCTAAAACATGTCTGCTTTCCTTCCACTGTCATTCGTTCTACCTTCTGAAAACTAAAACCCTGACGCCCTTTAGACCACTTCCCTTTAAAACCAAGTAACAGTATTTTCTTTAGTCTTTTTTTCTGTTTTGTCCGAAGGAATACAGATAACTAACCCCAAAATAAGTGACGTAGGGTAGAAAACGAACGGACGCCCGAACAGGGACTTGAACCCTGGACCCTCAGATTAAAAGTCTGATGCTCTACCGACTGAGCTATCCGGGCTCTTCTTGGGGTGCTCTTCTGCTGCTTATAAGAGTTTTTCACTGACGAAAGACCAGGCTCGCAGAACTGACTGGGAATTGTATGCGTGGCGTAGAGGACTCCGGCAAAGAACAGGAGGAAGCCGGTGAAGGCCAGCAGCTGCTGATTGTGCTTTCTCCTCTCTGTCGGGTAAGGCTGCCGTCCATGTTCGGACGCTGGAGCTGGAGCGCCGCGAAGGCTGAGACCTTGCGGTGCCAGAACTGGCCGCGCGGGGCCGCTGCCAGCTGCGGGCTTTCCTCGTGGAGAGGTTTCTCCCCAGCCCTGATGACCTGAAGCCCATGCACCCCGGCCCCTCCAATCCCGCCCACGGCCCCGAAGGCCGAGAGCGGGCCCGGAGCGGAAAGAATGCCACGTGGGGCCTTCAGACATTGTGCGCCCGGAGTCCACTTCGGTCCCCTGACTGGCCCTATTCCAAGGGAGAGACTGAGATCGGGCGTGCCGAAGATCGAGGATACAGAGGGCCGGCGTGGCGACGGTGGTACAGAGTGCGGGGGAAGATAGGAGAGTTGTTTCTGACCCCTATGCGGTGTGCAGGGATGCGTGTGCGACTCACCTGCGTGTGGCTGTAGTCACGTGTGATTTATGGCCGAGTGTGGCTCACTTGAGTATAGTGACTCACATAGATGATTCACAAGTAAGAACGCGAGTGCCCTGTGCCCAGTTCTGGCTGAGAGAGAGGAAAAAGGGTCTTGGGGGAAGTTGGGGAGGGGGCAGACAAGGGCCCCAGGGCGTCAGTCAGCCCCTGACCAGGAGGAGGGCAGTGTCCCAATCATACAGACGTCATATACTCCTTGTCCCCACCTCAGCATCTGGTCCCTCCCTTGCCAATGGGATTTGGGCTCCTGATATCCATCTGGGTGAGCCCTGTCCTGTCAGCCAGAGGGACCGGCTGTGCCAGAGACAAGCAAACAACCATTAGGGCGCAAGACTGTGGGCGGGGAGAGGAAGCCCAAAGTGAGCAAGGACACAGGCTGGAGCTCCCAGAGAGAAAGAGCCCAAGAGCAACCCAGAGAGAGCTGGGCTTTTCTCCAGAGGCAGACCCTGTCCCCCAGCCCTTCACTCAGCAGCCCAGCAGCCCAGCCCTGCCCGGCCTGCCACTTACCTCCTCCAGGCCAGCTGCTGCTGTAGCCAACGTTGCCGGGGCATCTCTCCTTCCCTCCCATCATGGCCGTGTACCGCGTCTCTGTGACCACTGGTCCCTACCTGATGGCCGGCACGCTGGACAACATCTCCATCACACTCGTGGGCACGTGTGGTGAGAGCCCCAAGCAGCTGCTGGATCATCTGGGCAGGGACTTCACCCGTGGATCGGTGAGTACGGAGGAGAGAGCAAGGAGTGACCTCTGAGGGGCAGGGCTGGCAGGGGACCCTGAAGAGGGGAGGAGTTTCCTCCAGAGCTCATCAAGTCCTGCAGAGCTCTGGATGCTGACCCTAACTTCTTCACCATCCCTATTCTGGTCCCTGTCTTTCCTGTGGATGATAAACCTTACCCAGGCAGGGCTGTGAAGAAAGAGCCCTGGGCAGGGGGTCAGGAGAATTCCACTGGCTTCCTCGCTTCTCTTCCAATAACTGAAGGTGGGCTTTGGGCGAGTTGCATACCCTCTCTGAGCCTGGGTTTCCTCTTCTCTGGAGGGGACCTGCCTGCCTCTGCCAGGCCCCAGGATTGTTTGCTGGTGGCCTACACAAGGGTGCGGGCTGCCAAGGATGCTAGTGAAACACAAAACCCACTCTGGTCACACACCGTGCCTGTGGTAGCTGTGGCTGCTTCTGCCAGGATGAAGGGGTGCCTTTTTCTAATTCATATGAAGGCATCGCATGGGTTAGCAGCAGCTCAGGTTTGTAAGCCAGAATAGGTGTAGGTGTAGACGCACATTGAAAGGTGCAAGGATGGCCCCGGCAGCTCCTTGCCTCTCACTTGCTTACTCTCTTGGTCCCCTCAGGTGCAGAAGTACAAGGTGCGCTGCTCAGCGGAGTTGGGTGAGCTCTTGCTGTTGCGTCTACACAAAGAACGCTATGCTTTCTTCCCCAAAGACTCCTGGTACTGCAGCTACATCTGTGTCACTGCCCATGATGGTACCCTTTCTCACTTCCCCTGCTATCAATGGATTGAGGGCTACTGCACCATAGAGCTGCGACCAGGAACAGGTGGGTCAGAGGCAGGGGCTGGTTTGTGCTGCAGAAAGCATCTGTTGGGATTAGGTGTAGGGAATAGAGTTAGGGTTGGGGTAACAGGAACTCAGGGCTCCCAAGTAGATGCTTTCTGGAGAAAGTAAGCCTCCAAAGCCCTGAAATGCAGGGGCTTTCTGAGCAATATTTACCTCTCTGCAGACACACAGACATGCACGCTCACGTACACTCACATCGCTTATGGACACAAACACACACAGACGGCGGTTTGCTTACCACTGACTCCCTCTGCACTTCCCAGAGTGAATTCTTCTGGAGGCCAGAGAGGAATTAACCTGCAAGCTGAGTAATTGCATTTGAACAGGTGGAGTAGCCCTGAATGTTTAGACGATTTAGCTGGAGATGCCCTGGCCACTACTACTGGCTTTTCTGGTGTGGATGAAGTGCCTGTGAAATGCTATTCAGATTCCTTTTTGAATCTGGGGGGCCTTTCAAGGGTGCTGGGTTCGAGTTTCTTCGGCCTCTGGACCCCCGGATCTCCCGAGCTGTCTGGTCTGGAGAGGCAACACTAGGACTGGTCCACGTGTTGTGATGAGTCTTAGCGATGAGAGATGACGTTCTAGGCCAAGGTGAGGCAAGTGAACATTACCCCTCAGCCCACAGTGAGTTCTTCATAGACTTTACTCTGAACCCCCATCGACCATCACAGCACATGCATCCCTCACTTCACAAAATATATTTGTTCATCAGCCATTTGTCAAGTGCATGTTATGTGCACAGTACCAGACACCATGCTAGATGCTGAGAATACAAAAAAATGAATACAGTAGAGTTTATAGTCTTGGAAAGGAGACAAATTTGCAAATACTTAGGAAAATTGTTTTAATTTTGGGGTGAGGTTGTCCTGAATCCCTTCTACTGATGAATACAGGAAGAACATGGGACATGCATGTCACTGAGGGATCAGGTCCCAGGGCTAGGGAGTTCAGGCAAGGTTTGCTGGAGGAGATGTTGTTTGAAAAGAGACTTACATGATGAGTAATTTTCATTCCCCACAGCAAGAACTGTTTGTCAGGACTCCCTTCCTCTCCTTCTGGATCACAGGAAACGGGAAATCCAGGCCCGACAGGAATGCTACCGGTAAGGGCAGCCTAATCTGACTTCGTTCCCCATCTTTATTCTGACCTCTGCCTTAATCAGACTGTTACTAACTCTGACCTCAGTTCCAACTTTGGGAGCCCAAAGATCAGGGCCCTGATTTAAACGTCTAACGTCTGACGTCAGTCTAACATTGTCCCTGAGTCCATACCAGAACACCAGTACCAACAGTTGTCCCAATACCATCAATGAATCCACACTCAACCCCCAGCTGCCTTTGGTGTGACCCAAGTATCAGACATGACCCTGTTGTTGACCAATCTCAGCCTATCTTCAGCCTCCCCCCAAACTGGCCATGATCTTTATTTTTTAAAGATTGGCACCTGAGCTAACATCTGTTGCCAATCTTCGTTTTTCTTTTCTTCTTCTTCTTCTCCCCAAAGCCCCCCAGTATATAGTTGTGTGTTCTAGTTGTGGCATGTGGGACGCTGCCTCAGCACGGCCTGACGAGCGGTGCCATGTCCGTGCCCAGGATCCAAACCAGCGAAACCCTGGGCCGCTGAAGCAGAGCGCGGGAATTAACCACTCGGCCATGGGGCCGGCCCCTCAGCCGTGATCTTGATCTCAACACAAACCAACTCTAAACCAGCCTAGACATTCATGTCATCCTCAAATGCCACTCTGATTTGAAACTCAGTGCCTTCGGGGAGAAAATTCCAATTCTTTGTCACCTACCCAGAAAACGGGTGGTTTCTGCGAGTTTTAATTTAAAGCCATGTCTTAACAGTGAAGGCTTCTGTTTACCCTAAGTTTCACTTGCCATCTCTGACCTCTTTTCCCTTGGAAGCTGGAAAGTCTATGCTCCTGGCTTCCCTGGCATTGTGGATGTCCGCAGCTTTGAGGAGATGGAGTCAAACAAGAAATTTGCCTTGACCAAGACGGCACCTTGTGCAGACCAGGGTGACAGGTGAGGAAGGACCCAGGCTTGGGAAGAAGGTAGAGGAAGTGTGAAGTGAAGGGTCTGTTGTGAGGATGGGGCCCGGGCAGGCTGGAAGTCAGGGTCTATGACAAGTGCAGATTAATTCAAGTGTCAGAGCAGAATGGGCAGGGGTGACCCCAGTGGTCTGGCAGAGAGGAGGAGGTGGGTTCAGGCAGGAGAGAGGGCAGGGGACAAGTCTGGTCTGAGGGGAGGCTTGGGGACACTGGTTGGGGAGAGAGGGAAGGAATTAAGGGGAGTGGACTGCAGGTCCCTCTGACTGGTTTCTTTCTTTCTGCTCCCCAGCAGTGGGAATCGGTACCTGCCTGGCTTCCCTATGAAAATTGACATCCCATCCCTGCTGCACGTGGAGCCCAATATTCGCTACTCGGCCACCAAGACAACCTCGCTGCTCTTCAACGCCATCCCTGCGTGAGGCCACTGCCCTCTGCACACCTGCTCACTCTCCCGTCTGCCTCTGCCCCTCTGATGCACAGCCACATCTCTGCTCTCTCTGACCCCCCCAGGCTCCCCCCTCTCTGCCTCGGTCTCTCTTCTCCCTACTCCTCAGTCTCTCCCTCTCTTCCCCTAATCTCCCCTCTCTGTCAGTCTCCCCTCTCTCTGCCCCTCAGGCTCCTCTCCCTCCTTAGGCAACTCCTTTTTCTATCTCCCCATCGCCTCCTCTTTGCTCTTAAGTCATCCCTTTGCTTTCCATTCCTCAAACCAATACAATTAACTGAGTACCTGGTCTGTGCAAAGCACGGCCCCAGGCACTGTTGGTGGGACCACGGTGAGTAGGACAGAGGCCCGGCCCTTAAGCTTTAATGAGATGGTCAGACAGCTCAAGTTCAAATCCCAGAACCAATACTTTCTAGCTGTATGATCTTGATTTCCACTTAGCCTCTACATAGTTTCCTCATTTGTAAAATGACAATAGTATTCATACCTACCTCACAGGTTTGGAGGAGAACTTAATGACATAACACCCAGCACAAAATAATTTCTCAATAGATGTTACTGAGTAGTAGTACTAGGACATAGATTTGGCTGTGAGGAACTCACAGTATCACAAGGGAGAGGTGTTGTGCGATTAATTACCAATCAGAGGGGTCATTAGCAGCTCATTCAACAGCTGAGGCTCTGCTTGTGCTGTGTCTGGAGAGGGTACAGTCGACACAATGAGGATGACTTATCTGCACCATGTGGCCACGTGCACCACTTGTGTACGGTGTGGAGTTACCCCTACAAAACCTCGGTTGGCCACTAGACTTTTCTCCCATGCGGGTTGTTAGGCACCTCTGCTTTGAACATTGACCTTGTCAGGTTCCTCCAGCCCTCTAGGTGAGGAGCACAGTGCTCCTGGCAGCTCCCAGCCCCCACCCTCACTTCCCCTCCCACTCAGGTCCTTGGGCATGAAGCTTCGAGGGCTGCTGGACCGCAAGGGCTCCTGGAAGAAGCTGGATGACATCCGGAATATCTTCTGGTGCCACAAGACCTTCACTTCGGGTGTGCAGAGTTGGGCAGGAGAAGTCCATCCTCCACCCTACTCCAGCCTCAGACCCCTCTACCCCCTTCTGGGAAAGGGCCTTTTTCCAGCCCTCTCAGGGAGAATGCTGGATTATAGTTGAGGGGTTCCTGGTTTCACTGGTGGCAATCTCACAGATTCCCCTCAGGAACCAGGGCATCTTTCCTTCCTCTGGGAGGGGACAAGAATAAGGGAGTGATGACAGAGAGACACCGCTTGCCTAGGAGAGGGTCAAGGGCCATTTCAGGAGTCCTAATCATGATCATATGCACTTTCCTCTCTTCCTCTACCACCACCACCAAGAGTTCTGGGCTTTGGGGCCAGACCTGGGTTCAGATCCCTGTTCTGCCACTAACTGAGCAAGTCACTCCATCTTGTTGACTCTCAGTGTCCAGTGTTAAATTGAAGATATAATTATACCTACCTCACAGAGTTGCTGGGAGGAAAACCTAAACCACAGTATAACTAAAAGGCTGGGCAGGAGCATGATCTAGGGAAGTAGTTTCCGAACCAACTGGCTCCCCTCTCTTGCCCCCTAGAGTACGTCACAGAGCACTGGCATGAAGACCACTTCTTTGGGTACCAGTACCTGAATGGTGTCAATCCTGTCATGCTCCATTGCCTCTCCAGCTTGCCCAGAAAGCTGCCTGTCACCAATGACATGGTGGCTCCCTTGCTGGGATCAGCCACCTGCCTGCAGACAGAGCTAGAGGTGGGTGAGTTGCCATCATGGACAAGGGAAGTGTGTGGAGGACAGGGGCGGGATGGCTGGGGCCACATCCAGCCTGTTGGCCTCGCCCTCTGGGTAGCCCTGGCCCTGCACCTTTCAAGTCGAGCAGATATAGAAGAGAGCCAAATGGGGTTCAGGGTGGCTTGAGGCCTGAGATGGGGCCTGGTAAAGTGATATGAACAAGCAGGGCAGCTGCAGGACAGACATCTAGGAGAAGGGCCTCCAAGATCCCAGGGGGCTGAGGCTGGGAGAAGACTGTTTTAAGACAGGCCAAAGGGAGTGCCAGCAGATACAGCAGGAACAATCATGGAGAACTAGGAGCTCTCAGGGTGTGGGAGAAGACGATGATCCAGTCTCTCTGGGGCACCCAAGCCCTCAGGCAGCCTCCAGAAGGCTGGCAAAGACGTTGGTGAATTCTCATTGTGTGTTGATTTTTCTGTTGTTCGATATGCTGAGGTCGACTGAGTTGAGAGCATAGAAAGGACCAGTTATGGGGGGAGGGGGAGAGGACGCTGGCTTGTCCAAGCTGGGAAGGCAGCTTGTTACCAAAACCAAAGGGCATTCCCGCCTGGCCAGTTAAATCAGACTCTCCACCAGAAGTAGTTGTCTCACAAAGTAAGGTATGTTTGCAGCAAATAGGAGACCATGAGGAATCATCTCCAGAGTCATGGCATCCCAGAACAAAGAGAAGCAGGGACCTTTTATTTCAGATGGGGATAAATATTCAAAAGGAAGAGGTGGGTATTCGCTTGTGCAGGCTCAGTTGGAAAACATGCTTCCACATACACTGCAGGTTGCAGTAATAAGGCCTCAGCTCCTCCTGGAGAGGCCTTAGCATTAAAAATAAAGCAAAGGTCATAGGCGTAGCTCTTGTGGTGAGGCTTGGTCTAGTTCAGCGCCTTTGGTGATTGCATCTCCTTGACATAACAAAAGGAAAAAAAGACAATTTGGAAAAAACAGTTGAATGCTTCCAAACCCACGCCTGAGTTCCTGGGGCAACTAGTCAGTGACAAGGTGAGAGGCTGCACACCGAGACTCTGCTGGACCTCATTCCGGACATTCCTGGAAGGGTGGGGTACCAAGCATAGGCCATTAGTGCAGGCACCAAGCATTACTGAGGCTCAGGCTGGAGTGGGTGGACAGAGGACGGAGAGGGAAGCTGAGCGCGGGTGGGGATAGTATTCTAAACCTCTGTGCGCCTTCTCCAGAGGGGGAACATCTTCCTAGCCGACTACTGGATCCTAGCGGAGGTCCCCGTCCACTGCCTAAACGGCAGCCAGCAGTACGTGGCCGCCCCGCTCTGTCTGCTGTGGCTCAATCCCCAGGGGGCGCTGGTACCCTTGGCCATCCAGGTGAGCCTGGGGCGGGGGCTCGGGGGCGGGGCCTCAGGAGGCACACTAGCAGTCTTGAGCCTCACCCCCTTATTCTTCTTTGACGCAGCTCAGCCAGACCCCCGGGCCCAACAGCCCCATCTTTCTGCCCACTGACTCCGACTGGGACTGGATGGTGGCCAAGACTTGGGTACGCAACTCTGAGTTCCTGGTGCACGAGAACAACACGCACTTTTTGTGCACGCATTTGCTGTGCGAGGCCTTCGCCATCGCCACGCTGCGTCAGCTGCCGCTCTGCCATCCCATCTACAAGGTCTGTACGAACCCCCGGGGGGCCAGAGGGGGCGGGGCCAAGGTGGCCTTCTCCCCTGACCTTCGGCTCCTGTGACCTCATCCCGCTTGCAGCTCCTGCTTCCCCACACTCGCTACACGCTGCAAGTGAACATCACCGCAAGGGCCGCGCTGCTCAACCCCGAGGGCTTTGCGGACCAGGTGAGGCTTCCCGGCTCCCTGCCCTCCCCGTCTCTGAGGCCCCGCCCCCGAGGACGCTTTGCCCCGCCCACAAGCCTGTTCGGCCACCAATCCCATTCCACAGTCCCTGACAGCCCCTTCCCACAAGCCCCGCCCCTTTGCGTCAGTCTCCTACTTGAGCCACAGCTAAACCTTGCCCCTTCGGGGTCAATCCCACCCACGCGCCTCACGCCCTCAGGCCCTGGTTCCAAAGGTTCCTGGAGGTGGGCAGGGCAACCCCAGGCTGAGCAAAGCCCCCCTGCTGACCCTGCGCCGGCTCTCGCCTCCCTGCCTGCCTGGCATTTAGTTCATTCTTCTGGTTACCGAACACTTCAAGGTTACGTACTGTGCACGTAGTAGGGCCGCAACCCGCGCGGCCCACATCGGGCCACTATGAGTGTTTGATCCGTGGTCTTAGACTGATTGATTAACTGAAAAATCCCCTCTGCTCAGTCACTAGCCCAATCTCGTCCCCAGGCACTGGGGTGGGGGTTGGGCCCACCCGGCAGCCAGCTGTGCTGTGTCCTTAGGTCACGTCCATCGGGCGGCAAGGCCTCCTCTACCTCATGAGCACCGGTCTGGCCCACTTCACCTACACCAATTTCTGCCTTCCGGACAGCCTGCGGGCCCGTGGCGTCCTGGCCATCCCCAACTACCATTACCGAGACGACGGCCTAAAGATCTGGGCCGCCATCGAGAGGTGTGGGCTTGGGACCCTGCAGCCAATCTGGCCCTATCAGCGCCTGCTGGCCCAGGGGCAGTGTGGGCCCCTGTGCTCAAGAAGGCTGGGGTGCTTATTGCTGGGGGTTTCGGGGGTTCTCAGGCCCCAGCATGGGGCACCCCAAGGGTGAGAGTTGCGGTTGGGGTCCCTATGAAATGGCAGATAGCTGTGGGCTGGAGAGGGCCTGGGCTGTGCATAAATGCAATGGAGGAAGGGAAGGATGGGGTGTCCAGAGGAGTCAGGGCAGGTGCAACAGCTAGTGTGGGCTGGGGCCCCCAGGCAGGCAGGTCTTCTTTCTCCTGGATGCTAAGTGTGGCGGGATACAGGATGAGTCAGGCTCTCCTCAGTGCACTCTTCCCCTAGCCTCCTGGGCTGGAAGGAGGCCCAGAGCACCCCTGACTCAGGAGTGAGGGTGAGACTTGAATCCCTGTGGACTCTCAGTGGACTCTGGCCAGCTGGCTCTCCCCAGCCTGAGCAGCAATGGGCCTCGGTTTTCTGGCCAGGCCTGAGCCCGAGGTCACTGCTGTGGCATGGACTATCTCTTTTCTGCAGCTTTGTCTCAGAAATCGTGAGCTACTATTATCCCAGTGATGCATCTGTGCAGCAGGATTCGGAGCTGCAGGCCTGGGTTGGCGAGATTTTTGCTCAGGCATTTCTGGGCCGAGAAAGCTCAGGTATCCTCTCTCCATCCCCCAACCACAGGCTCTCAATGACCCAGTGCTCCCCCTGATGCCACCATTAATCAGTTCCTATTTACTGACCAGCCTTTGAAGTACATTGTGTTATTAGCCCCACTGAACAGATAAGGAATAGGCATGGAGAAGCCTGCAGATAGTAAGCGGCAGATCTCTGTTTCCTCTCTCTACCCCTCCCTAACACAATGACCCTTTCTCCTGTTTCTCCTCTGTAGCTGCTTCCAGACTTGGAAATCTCCCCATTCTCTATTCCCTGAAGGACTTTCGTTTTTGGCTGTCTCATTGTCACCCTTGGGACCTGCACATGAAAACTACAAGTCATCACTATAGAATGACTTCTGGCCTCACTCGGGTTATATACCCTATTGCTATTCTTCATGGCCTACTTCCCTGGTGCCACTGTAATATATGGTGTATACTCTGGGCACTGGACCATGTAGCAGAGGCCTCTGTGTCTGGGTGTAGTGGAAGAAAAGGAAAAGCTCAAAGTGGCACAAATGTCCATCCTCTGGTTCCCCCAGCCCTGGCCCGAGGTGGAAGACTCTCACTGCCTGGGACATCTCTCAGCAGGGATGTGGGTTTCAGCTGACTCAGCGCTTCTGGTGGTCACCCAGAGGAGTTCCCGCCTGGGGAGACCCAGGGAGGAGGGGTGGTCTCAGGTCACCTGCAAATAGAATGGACAGCTTTGCAGCCCTACCTGTAGTGGACTCCGAGCCTGTTTTTTTTTAAACATACAAGTATAGAGAGTATAATGTAATGAACACCTATTTACCTATCACCCAGATTCAACAACTGTTAACATCTTTGCCATATTTGATTAATCTGTTGCTTTTGTTTACTGTTGAAGTCTTTTAAAGCAAATTAGAATATTTCATATTTCAGTCCTAATCAATATGCAACTCAAAAAAATGTTTTTCTACACAACCGCATACTATCATCATGCTTAACAAAATTGACAATAATCTCCAATATCACCCTCTTATCTAGTCCATGTTCAAATTTCCTCCCTTCTCCCATTTTCCCTCGGTTGATCCTGTTGATTCCAGAGCCAATCGAGGACCACATGATACAGTTTTTGTTTTGACTCTAAAGTCTCTTTTAATTTGGGACAGCCCCCCCGCCCTTTAAATCACATGACATCTGACATGGACTTATTGAAAAGCCAGGACTAGCAGATGTGTAGAATGTCTCACCTTCTGAATTTATCTAATTGCTTGCTCATGATATCATTCATCTTGTTCCTCCACACACTGTGTTTTTTGTCAACTGGAAGTAATACCTAAAGGTTACGTGTTTTTGGCAAGAATATTTCTCAGGTGATGCTGTGTTCTCCTCATTGCATCACATGGGGAGACACATAATGTCAGGTTGTCTCACTGTTAATGATGCCAAGAGTAATTTCTGGGTTAAGGTGGTGACAGCCAGAGGTCTTTTGGATCTTTTAAAGGGTGACCCCTCCCCATGCTTTGCAAGCCTACTGTCAATCATGGGCAGTCCTGATCCTGAGCAGCTATTTTCTATTTGGGGTTATCCATTTCCTATTTAAGACCCAGCAGGGGATCTTGTTACTATTGGCTCAACTCTATCTTACTTTATTAAACTTGTCTCTGATTTAATACATCAGAAATTCTTCAGATTGACAAACATCTCTTTGAACCAGTGCAAACTTATTCTAGAGTCATATGTTTTAAGGCAAAATGCACTCATTAACTCAGTCACTATGCTTTTTGCTTCCATATTTCAAGGGGAAAAAATACATAATATAAGCCACAGAAAAATTCCCATAGATGGTCTGACTTCTTGGCTTTTTAATTCTCAGCCCTCAAGGTTAGACTATCAACCATGAACAGAACATTCAGAAAATTCCCACACACTCTAGGCAGATACCCGGTCCCTCCTCCAAACCTCTCTGTCTGTTCTGTTGCATCAGCCTCTCTCCAGTCATCCTGACTCCAAACCTTGGAGCCACCTTTGACTCATGTTCTCTCCTGTCTTTCTCTCTCCCTAAATCCAGTCTGGTGGCTAACCCCATCATTTCCCACTGTCACCACCCACACTCTACTAGTCCCAGTCCTCACACGACTCCTGCATCGTGGTAGCTGTCTCTTCTTAACCAGTCCCACCTCTCCCAGCCTCTTCCTACTTGCCCTCCAAGCCTGTGGGGCCACTGCCCCAGTAATCCTCTGAAATATTGCCCAGAAACGACCTGGCCTGGCACACTGCTATAGCCTCATCTCCAATTATGTCCCCTCCCTGTCCTCTCACCTTGCTTGGGCCCCATCCTTCCCACTCTGGCTTCTTAATCTCTCATGCATTCACTTCATTCATCCAATAATTACCGGGCTCTTTAATATTAAGTATTGTTCCAGGTGCTGGCGTTCAGCAGGGAACATGACAGATAAAAGTCCTGGCCTTTCCAGAGCTTAAAGTTCTTGTGGGGAGAGACAGATAATAAATATGTCAGGTGGGTATGAATGCTAAGAAGAATGAAACCGTGTCAGAGGATATAGCATGTTGAGGTAGGGGGATCATTTCAGATAGGGGGTCAGGGAAGGCCTCTCTGAGGAGTTGATGTTTGAGTAGAGACCTGAAGGAAGTGAAAGAGCTAGTTCCGTGGATAACTGGGTAAAGTATACAGGGAGTGCAAAGGCCCTGAGGTGGGAGCATGTGGTGGGTTTGAGGACTTCAGGAGAGTAAGTGAGAGGGAGAAAACTAGGGAAGGAAATGAAGTCAGAGAAGGAGCGAGAGCCAGCTCAAGTAGGGCCACGGTAGGGTAAGTGAGGTGGAAGTCCTTAGAGGGTTTTAGCAAATGGTGACATAATTCAATTTATGGTTCTAAAGGATCACTCACTCGGGACTGTCAGGTGAAGAACAGGCTGTCAGGGGCAAGGGTGGAAGCCAGATTCATCCAGGAGCGAGATGATGGAGAGTGGGTGGTGATGGAGACTGGAGGTGGTGAGACAAGATTGGTTTCTCGAAGTATCTGCTGATATGTGCAGTATGAGGTAAAAAGAGGAGTGAGTGCACAGATTTTGGCCTGAGCAACTGGATAAAGAGTACCAAAATGGGCTCACTGTGGGAAGGACGGATTTGGGGAGTGTGTGTGCACAGGAAGTCAAGCTTAGGTTTTGCAAATGCTAAGTGTGAGAAGCCTTGTAGACACTCAGGTGGAGATGTCAGGTAGCAGCTGCAGATTTATACCCACTGCTGAGTCGAGAGTTCAGGGGCCATGCAGAGCCGGAGATGTGGATTTGGGAATCATCGACCAGTGGGAGGTGGTTAGAGCCATACAATTGGATGAGACCAGTGAGATCCAGAGAGAAGAGGACCAACTGAAAGTGCCTTCCTCTGTCATCTTTTTTCCATTCAAAGCTCACCCACTCTTCAGCTCAGGGAGGCCCCTTCTATTCCTTTAGGAAAGTCTCCCATAACCGCATTAGCCCCAGTGCCTGTTTCTGTGCTGCCTGCCCTCTCCTCAGAGAGCCAAGCCCTGGCCTGAGAGCTTTCTTCTGCTTCCATCACTGCGAGCTCATGATTAACACTCTCTGGTCATCTGTCTCTGCTGCTAAGCCCCGCAGTGGATGATCCCTACTGGGTGCTTGGACAAATCTTGGTGAATTAGGTAGCATTAAATCATTACGCACTGATGTGAGCCGCAGACAGAAGTGCCTTGGCGGTCAGGGAGAGGCAGCTTGGCTGTTGGCTTGCACCTGCCTCCTCTGCTCTGAGCTCTGCTGGCTGGGCAGTTTCTCGTTTGATCCCAGCACCCAGCTCCTATCCTGACCGCCTTCAGAGACCAAAAACCCTGGCGTTGACCATCCCTAACCTCAGCCCAACCCTAATTTTACTCCAAAGACAGTGGTGGCCAAATATTTAGCCCTCACTTCCTCACTCTCCCCCTGCAGTAAGCCCCAGCCCTGAGCTGCCCCTAGGAATCCCGTCCCCCCCAATCCACACCCTCTTCCCTTCCTCCCACACCCAGGCTTCCCACGCCAGCTGTGCACCCTGGGAGAGCTGGTGAAGTTCCTCACTGCAATCATCTTCAACTGCTCCGCCCAGCACGCTGCTGTCAACAGTGGGCAGGTGAGGCTGCAGAGGGCCAGTCTGGGGAGTAGTGGACTGTGCAAGGTGGCATGGCTCAGCAATGAACATGAGGCCAGAGTTTGGGTTGAGAGTATAGGTGGGTCAGGGTGGGGGTGGGTTTATGATCAGAGCTGGTGTTGGATGATGAACGGGTGGAGCTGGATCCAAGGTTGTAATGGTGACTCGAGTTGGTGTTGTGTAGGGAGTAGAATTTACGGGCTTCTGTCATGGTTAGGAGGTGGCTAGTAGAGTATCAGGTTGCTCTGTGTGGCATGCTGGCCCAAGGCCCTTTCCTAGGATTACCTGTCTACATCCTCCTTGGTTATTCACTCCACCCAGTCCTAGAACATTGGGTAGGGAGTGACAAGGGGTGAGCCAGGCTCCTGACCCACTTTTGGAACTTTCTGCCGTATACGCCTCCCTCTCTTCCCTTTCCACGATCTTTGGGGTGGTAGGGGCAGGATCAGGGATGATGATGAAGGAACTGGTCCTGCCCCTCTGACCAGCTGACTCAGCTGGGGTGGGGGTCTCCACAGCATGACTTTGGAGCCTGGATGCCCAATGCCCCATCATCCATGAGACAGCCCCCACCCCAGACCAAGGGGACGACCACCCTGAAGAGTTACCTAGACACCCTCCCAGAAGTGAACATCACCTGTAAAAATCTTCTCCTCTTCTTGTTGGTCAGCCAAGAACCCAACGACAAGGTGTGTATATGGGGTGGGGGGCGGGCTATGGGGTGGGGGTTTGCAGGGCCTAGGCAGTGGGGGTGGTGGCTCCAGGGAGGCTTGGGGACTGACTGCTGGCATTTATGCCCACTGCTGAGCTGCCTTGGGGTCTCCAGTTTCTCCTGGAGGTGATAGTTGATCCCAGAAGACATACATTGAAGCAAATACCAGTTTAGTAGCTGGGGCACAACATCCATCCAGTTCACCAGTTTACCAATCTATCTACCAATCTGTTCATCCATCTACCCATCCATCTATCCCTTTATTCATCAATCAACCACATCCATCAACCACTCATCCATTCATCCAAACATTCAACCTACGTTTTTTGGATACCTTCCATGTGTCAACATAGCACTGGGCACCAGGCATATAAAGACATATAAAGAGCAAGATGTTCCTGCCTTCAAGAATCAGACAGTCTAGTTGAGGAGACACACAGGTAAGTGAAAAAGGGCACCACAGTGTTGTAGAAATTATTTATTTACTAATTCCTCCATTCAACACATACTTCTTGAGCACTCGCAATGTACCATACACTGGTGGGCAGATATGATCCCTGTCCTCGTGAGCTTACAGCCTAGTGACAGAGGTGAGGGTGGGGCCTTGTGGAAAATGACCGAGTCTGGGAAAACCCAGGAAGGCTTCTTGGAGCAAGTGACATCTAAGCTGAAACATGTGTGACAGGTAGGAGTTTGGCAGACAAAGGAGCAGCAGGATTAGTTTTTAAGCAGAGAGAAGGATGTGACCAAGTGAAATGAAGTAAAGTGAAGGCGAGAGTCTGTTGGTGTGATTGTAGGGTCACAAATGGTTCCATGCAGGCACAGTACTCCTTCAGAGGACAGTGGGGAGCCAGGGAGTCATTTCAGAGTTTTAAGCCTGGGGTGACATGGCTAAATTTGTGTTTTGGCAAGGGCGCTTCTGTGGCTGTGTGGATGGATAGGAGGGGTTTCTACAACCCTCTCCTCAGGTTCAATCATCTTCTAGAACAGCTCACAGAACTCAAGAAAACAGTTTACTTACTAGATTACTGGTTTATTATAAAAGGATACAACTCAGGAACAGCCAAAGGGAAGAAATGCACAGGGCAAGATATGAGGGAAAGGGGGCAGGGCTTCCATGCCCTCTCAGGGTGCACCACCCTCCCAGCACCTGCATGTGTTCAGCCTGAAAGCCCTCCAAACCCAGACTTTAGACATGTTCATGGAGGTTTCATTCCGTAGATATGATTGATTAAATCTTTGGCCCCTGGGGATTAATTCAACCTCCAGCCCTTCTCCCCTCCCCAGAGGTTGGGGGGTGGGACTGAAAATTCTAACCCTCTAATTACATGGTTGATTCCCCTGGCAACCAGCCCCCACCCTAAGGGGCTTTCCAGAAGTCACCTCATTAATATAAACTCAAGTGTGGTTGAAAGGGGCTTATTTTGAATAAGGAAAGGCACTTTTTAACATTCTTATCACATATAAGGGTTTTAGGAGCTCTATGTAGGAACAGGGAAGACCAAATATTTTTTCTTATTATAAATCACAGCATCACAGTGGAGAGGGATATGTAGGCAGAGAATGAGGGTGGAGGGTTCCCGCCTCATAAACCAGTGGGAAGTTTAACCTGGAAAATTCTAACAACGATGACAGCAGCTATCATCACTTGCTGAGGATCTGTCACGTCTCAGTCATTAAATCAGATACTCTATGTATACTATTTTAAAACACGAAATAAATAAGTCGCTATATTTATTTATTTATTTATTTATTTATTTTTTTTTTTAAAGATTTTATTTTTTCCTTTTTCTCCCCAAAGCCCCCCGGTACATAGTTGTATATTCTTTGTTGTGGGTCCTTCTAGTTGTGGCATGTGGGACGCTGCCTCAGCGTGGTTTGATGAGCAGTGTCATGTCCGCGCCCAGGATTCGAACCAACGAAACACTGGGCCGCCTGCAGCGGAGTGCGTGAACTTAACCGCTCAGCCACGGGGCCAGCCCCAAGTAGCTATATTTAAAATGCTTAATACAGTGCCTGGCATATAAGTGTTCAATAAATGGTAGTTTCATTTTACAGGGGAGAAAACTAAGTTTCAGAGACACAAAACAATTTGCCCAAGGTCACAGAGCTAGTAACAGGCTTTGAACCCAGGCTGTCATATTTCTGTGTTCTGCTTTTGTGACAGCTACGCTCCGCTGTAGTTTTAGAAATTAGGTGTCAATCTGGTAAATAAGACATAAAATTGATTCTTTGAAAAGCCTAATAAAGTAAAGAAACCAGAGATGATTCTAATCAAGAAAAAAAAGCATATAAATGTACAACATTAGGAATGGGAAAGACATACAGCCACAAATACAGAGAAGACTGAAAACAATTAGAAGAAAATACTACTTACAGTTTTACGCAAACAAATTTGGAAATCTTGATGAAATGAATGATTTTCTAGGAAAACATAAACAACCAAAACTTAACACCAGGAGAGATGAAAACCATACATGAATGGGTAAGGTTGTAAACGATCTGATCCTTTTCCCTGCAAAGGAAGATTCTAGCAAACCTTCAGGGAACAAGTCATTCCTAAATTATTCAAACTACTTGAAAGTATAGGAAAAGTATAGAAGCTTCCCAAATCATTTTACTGGGAACCCTGATACCAG